CCCCCCCCCCCTCCGGCGGGCTCTCCCTCTACGACCAGCTCCAGATGTGCTTTCCAGATGTACCGTCCCTCTCTCCCTCGGCGCCCAGGCGCCACCCTCCCCCACCCCAGAGCGCAGTTTGCTTTTTCCGAGGGAATTGGAGGGATGGAAGGAGAGAGGGGGCACGCCCTGAGTCAGATCCAGGGACAGACACACACAAACGGGCGAAATTCCTTGACACAGCACACACCACGAATTCCTACACACACAATGAATCACACTTAACATACAGGGGCCTACAGGGCACGTAACTGGCCCTAAAACAGAAAACAGCAGCACTGGTTAACTACACAGGAGGATGCTGTTGCAAACACACAGTGACACAAAAACATTCTCTATGACTGACATGTATACACAAGGGGCCGACGCTGACGCACATACACAAAGAGAGACACACACATACACGAACACAAACACTCAATCAAACGAGCACACACTGACTACAAACACCTAGCAACACAACACACATCTAGGCTGAAGCTGACAGACACACAAACCTCCCCGCATTTTGAGATACACCCACCAAGCATCAAACATACGTTGAGGCTGAAGTGGACAAACGGATACACAACAGGACACAAATCAGGCTGATGTTGACTGGCTCACACAGAAACACAGCCAAGACTTCAAAACACAGCTGGACACACTCAGCTTGCTTCAGACACATTCCTCAAGATGCAGGCTCATACGGAAACACACACTTGCATCAACACACAGGGTTGCTGCAGACGCACAAACGTGGAGATGCTGCCTTGTGCGGATAGGTGGCACAGACACATATATACACACTGGCTGGTGAGTACCTCAAGTTCATCCACCAAGAGGCAGTCAGGGCTGGAACTGACATGCCAGGAGAGCAGACAGAAGCAGAAGGGTATTGTTACTACCTGCTGTGAATCACACACACACACACACACACACACATCTATAGGGGTCCATGGGACAGAGTCACATACCAACATGCTCACCCTGTGACATATACACAGATATCACAGAGCCATCCATACACAGCCACAGGCAGTGGAACCACACCAAGAAACACACCAAGTTGTCCAATGACACATCCTGAGCCCACAAAGAAACAGAAGCTCCCACTAAGACACACTGACACCTAGAGGCACCGCCTGTAAGCTGGCATTGTCACCTCTATACAGGGAGGTATGGAAAATAGCCACAAGACACACTGCCGTCCATCACTCTGCCATCTCTCCTCACACACACATATGCACTCCACCCTCTCACAGAGAGTCACAGCTGTGAACACACAAACACAAAGAAGGACAGATAGCAGGCCGACACTGGAATACTTAGTCACACACACACACAGACACACACACACACACACACACTGACAGCCCCTGAGAAACTTACAGAAACATGCCATAAAGACCCAAACACAGTGGGACAGACACCTAAGGCGACAGAAACATACCTAGCCTCACACACACACACACGCACGCACACACACACACACACACACTCTGAGACATCCACAGAAGGCAGCCCTCACTAAGGTTCACCCTCATACAAACAGGTAGATGCACTGAGACACAGATCGAGAGGGACAGGGACACACCCAGACCTCCCACCCCGCCCCCCACACAGAGACACACACAGAGATCCCCACCTGGCAGCTCCCTCACACGCTGATACACACACAGATCCTCTCCCACCTGCATCCCCCACTTCTCCCTCTTCCTGGGATGGGGTGGGGGAACCATCCCCCTCTCCCTCCCCTTTGCCCGGGTCCTGCCAGGCTGACTCAGGCCCCAGAGCTGTGGGCCTGAGTCACCCCTCTGGAGGCCGGCACGCTCACCCCTGCTTCCTCCTACACTCAGGGCCCCCGGAATGCTGGGAATGTGGGCACCTCCTTCCACCCCAAGAGACCCTCCGTCAGGAGTCCCCTCCCCATGCCAGCAGATGGAAGCAGCAGGTTGGGGATGCTGGAAGCCGATGCCCTCCAAGGTCCAGCCGCCTCCCTCTGACTGACTCAGCCTCCCCCATCTGTGTTCCTCTGCCTCTCCTTCCTCAGTGAGGGGAACCCCCTGTGCTCAGGGTCCCCCAACTTGTGTGACCCCAAGCTAGGTCCTGCCCCATCTGTGAGGTGTGGAAGGGGATGGTCACCCTGAGGCTGGGAGGGTTTCTCCTGTCACTCAGACCCGTCGTGTCTCTCTTCATCTTGGGTTACTTCTGTAAGGAGCTAGGCGAGAGGAAGGCCCAGTTGATTCCGGTGCCCTGCTTAGGGTCAAGGCCTGACACAAGGGACATCAGACCCCCACACACTTGGCCATGGAGCAGCTCAGAGGAAACCCAGGACAAAGAATTCTCTGCAGAGAGGCTGGCATGAATGGAGGGGGAAAGAGCAGAGAGACGGGGAGACAGACACACAGAGCAACAGAGAGAGATGGAGAACAGAGACAGAAAGAAAACATACAGAGGGAAACGAGATAGATGGGGACCGACATGCAGAGACAGAGACACTCAGAGACAAAGAGAAAAAACTAGAGGGAGACTCAGAGACAGAGACAGACGGAGAAGGGCAGAGAGATGAGCAGACCCTCACACAGAGGCATGAAGGGCTCCCCACTTCCATCCTGCCCGGCCCTCTACACTGAGCTGACCACACCCCTGGACTCACCTGGCACACGGAGTGTGTGCTGGGCACTGTGGTCCACGGTTGCAGCTAGGGAGACAGCATCCTGGAGCCAGAGTAGGTCCACGGGCTCTGGGGGTCCCTGGGCCCGGCAGCTCAGGTTGAAGGGAGTGTTGGCAGCCACAGTCCTGTCCTCAGGCTCCTCCAGGAAGTAAGGCAGACCTGGGGGGGGGCAGTGGTGAAGGCTGGGGTCCCTCTGAGCCCCCTAGGTGTCTGACTCACCACTAGGATGTTGTAGGATGCAGGGTCTTTGACCCCTATGTCTGACCCCTCAGGACACCTCTACCCCCAGGAAACATGATCCCAATATCTGACTCTCCCCACCAATGTCTGAGCTCCAGGACATCTGAGCCTCTCATGTCTCTTTTCCAGAATGTCTTACTCCTTCCTGCTCTTCATGCCACTTTATCTATGAGGAAAGTGAGGCCCCTGGGGGGTGAGGGAGAGGGTTAAGTTGTGCTGAGCTCAGATCCTTGATCTGACCCCCGAATGTCCTGCCCCAACCATGTGTGACCTCAGGACAGCTGACAGCCCCAAAGATATCTACCCCCCTGCCCAAAACATATAATCTTGTGCAGGCCTGCCCCCAATAATTTATAGACCCCTCCAGCTGCCTGACCCTCCAAGATCTCTGACATTCTTAGGTTGTACGTCCCCAATGCACGCCGTGAATCCTCCAGCACCCTCTGACCCCTCAGGATTCTTGGTCTCCCACGACCTCTGAGCCCAGGGCTCACCCTCCAGCCCGACGTAGCCAGGCTGGGACACGAAGGTCTTTCTGTCCAGGACCACGGCACACTGGTACCATCCAGCGTCTGAGAGCTGCAGGGACGAGATTCTGACAGGGCAAAAGGAGGGACAGAGAGGTTCAGGGTCAAAGCTGCACCGGGGGAGGGGGTCCTCAGAACTGAAAGAGGAGAGTCTGGGCTGGAAACTCGTAAGACTGAATAAGTGGGTACTATTATTAACTCATTTTACAGAAGAGGAAAGTGAAAGCCAGGGTTAGTTATGTCACATGCTCAAAGCCATGCAGCTAGCGAGTGGCCACACTGGGGTCCAACCCAGGTGGGTTCCTGCGAGTGACTCTGCAGCCACCATGTGATGGAGATGGGGACACAGGGGTCAGGAGGGATGCGGGTCATGTCTGGTTAGGGGAGGCTGGGCACCTGAGTTGGCTGACCACTTTCCAGTCATCCTGCCCGTCTTCGCCCAGGGGCACCTGGGTCTGGGTGCTGTCTGCCAGCTCTAGGACCTGTCCATCCCGAAGCCAGGTCACCTCAGGGGGCTCCCCCTGAACCTGGAGCTCACACCGAAGGGCCCCCATGAGTCCTCGGGCACCAGTGATGTTCCCTGGACTCCCCACGAAGGGGTGCCCCTCAGCCTGTGGGCCTGCAGAGAGATGGGGAAGAGTTCACTCAGGAAACCCTGCTCCCCTCCGACTCCTCGGGTTCCACCCGTGCGGCCTGCCTGCTGCCAGGACCCCGCCAGGCCCTTAGGCCCACATAGTTGCAGAGTGACCTCAGCAGGGGGCGTGGAGGGTGGAGGCTTTGAGGGGAAGATGGGAGCCTTCCCAGGGGACTGGGGTCCGGCCTCCAGCCTCCGTCCGTTGGGAGTAGGCCTGGGATCTGGCAGCCTCCCACGCCCTGACTGCCCGGCTGGCCTGCCCTCCCTTAGGGTCTCTAGAGACTTGACAGATTAGGCTGGTGGATGGTGGGGAAGAGAAGAGAATGGGAGGGAGAGGAGAGAGAGAGAGAGGAACCAGAGAAAGTCAGGCAGACAGAGCGGGACAGAGACCCGGAGCGACAGAGGATAAGGGATGGAGAGAGACACCCAAGAGGGGAAAAAGTGGTAGGAGAGACACACAGAGGGAAATGGAAAGAAAGAGACAAAAACAGACTGACAGAGACAGTGATAGAGACACTTAGGGCACAGGGAGAGATAAAGACAGAGACTGGAGAGAGAAAGAGAAATGGAGACCCACAGAGATGGTAGGATTGGAGGCAGAGCCCCTGGCCCCAGAGGTGGAACGCGCAGACAAAAAGCCATGGGGTAAGGAGAAGTGGGGATGACAGTGACGAGGGACTTCCCCTGGGGCTCTGGAGCCCCCTCATCCCGCTGCCTGACTTAGGGGTCCTTTCTGGAAGATTCCTTTCCGGGCAGACCCCAGCTCAGCCCCTCTCCCCAAGGCCCCCAACTCAAGTCCAGCCCCTACCCTTGCCCTCAGCTTCTCGTGTCTGTCTGTCTGTGTCCATCTCTTCCCATCTCTGACCCTCTTAGTTTCTGTTTCTTGCCCTTCTGCTCTCTCGAGTCCCTTTTTCCTTCCCTCTCTTGGTTTGTCTCTGTGTATACCCTCCCCCTCTGTTGTCCCAAGAAAACTCCCTGAGCCAGACCAGGACTCCCGACTCACTCCCCTCGAACACCTGCCAGCCATCCCTCTTCCTTCCCTCCTCCCCCAGCCCCCCCATCACTCACCCTCGGGAGCCACGCACCCCCAGCAGCACAGCGCCCAGCACCAGGACAGCAGGACCCTGCCCATCCTCGGGGCACCACGCAATCAATGCCAAACTTTCCTCAGAAGTTGCTGGGCACCCCGCGGGGGAGGGGGCAGGGCCGGGTTGTGCCCGGCCCTCCCCCCAGCTCCGGGCTCCCCGGATTT